ATCTGGGTGTGTCTCTTTTCCTTAAATTTTTTCCGAAAATTCAGAGAGCCCTTTCCTTGTGCATACGTAGGTCTGTCTTTAGCTCAGGAATCCCATCTTTGATTCTTGTCTCTATTCCATTTGGCCTCTTCTGCACTTCTTTCCCACTTTCCACTTTCTTTCTTATATCCTTATCATTTTCTCTTTATCTTTTTCCTCTAAATTTTATGAGAGTTTCTCCAATTTATTCTCCATGTTTCTGAATCAGTTTTCTACAGCATCATTTCTCTTTAATGCTTCCAAAGTGGATTTTAATTGTGCTACTGGGTTTTTAGGTTTTGGTTTTTCCAGCTCTTTCTCTTTTGCATCACCCTTTTTGTTTCATCATACAGCCTTTTCAGCTCAGCCTGGTCTTCCCTTACGGCTTTCTTCTCCTATTTCATAGAGGCTGTGTCTTCTAAGAATTTTTTTAGTCTGCCATGCCCATTTGGTTACGTATTGTCTATGGCTGTTTTTGAGCTACAGGGACAGAGTTTGAATAGTGATAGAGACCGTATGGCCTGCATAAGCCTAAAATATTTACTGTTCGGCACTTTACAAAAAAGTTTGCAGATCCCTGTACTAGCGTGACAGCTGGATTCCCATCTCAGCGCCAAGCTGGATGGCAGGGGAATGTGTGCAGCTCCATCTCCTAGTTCCTGCCAGCCTTTCCCTTGATTCTCTTCTGCTCCATGGAGGTGGTATCCTTCTATCTCCACTGCCTGACTTTCTCATTCTCTGTATTAATGATTTAGATAAAAATGCAAGGTCAAATACCCACTGCAGACACTGCCGCTCCAGTCCCTACCCTTCCATAAGCCTCTCGTCCCTGGAGCAGGGCGCCACCACCGGTGCCCCCGCCCACTTCCTGCCCATTTGTTTTCTGGTTCTTGTCTCTCTGTCATCTTCCCTTTTTTCGGGATCTTTCTGCTCATCAGACAAAGAGCTGTGTCCTGAGGTAAAACCTGGACAGGTTTCGCTTGTTCCACCACCATCTGCCTTTCATTAATAGAGATTGCTCCCAGATTCCAGCACTGGGTCATCTATCAGTTGAATTTTTGGCATTAGTGTGAATTTTCATTTTTTTTCATTGTCTTTATGGCTATTTTGGAACAAAACAAGGAGAGGCTATATGGGTGACTGCCAAGTAGATGCCATTTTGAAGGAGTCAAAGCTGCATTTTAAAGCTGTGGTTTGTCCATCTTGAAGCAGTCTGTGTAGCTTTGTGTGTATTTGATAAAAGAGGAAAATATAGGAACATTTCCTTATCCAGGGACCACTTGTTCAGTGACCTCAGTTCTCTGGAATACAACCAAAACAAAGAGTCCACAAGCAGCCAGAGAGCTGCCACAGTGTCCATGTTCTGGAGGTCGTTCACTTTACCCGAGGGAGAGCGTTTAGTCTCTCATTCTGAGCCTATTTACCCGTGTTGTTTTTTTTTTTTTTTCTGAGGAAGATTTGCCCTGAGCTGACATCCACTGCCAATCTTCCTCTTTTTGTACGTGAGCCGCCACCACAGCATGGCCACTGACAGACGAGTGCTGTAGGTCCACGCCCAGGAACTGAACCCGGGCCGCTGAAGCAGAGCGTGCCGCACTTAACCACTAGGCCACCGGAGCTGGCCCTGTCCGTGTTTTACACAAAGTTCTAACAAGCTGGGTCTTTCTGTTTTCCTAGCTCACAACTGAATTGGAATCAGCAAATCTGAAGGGAGTAGGGGACGTTTTACAACAATAGGCACACTGACCTGACAGGAATTTCTGGCTGACAGAAAGGAAAGACATAAGACCCACACACACAAAAAGCAAATACAACTAGAACGTTCAGAGCTGGCACCATTTCCCGTGAGGGCAACCAGCTTGAGTTTCTCTGAGAGCACTCTCCAGTTTGAGTCAACAGCCACCTATCTGGGCCTGTCCTCTGCTGAGCTGGGTGCTCTGTGCATGTCATGGGTGCAGAGCCCTGTCCCCACCTCCCACAGTGACAGCTGGTTCAGAGAGGGGTTTCTAACCCTGGCTGACCGTTGGAATTACTTGAGGAACTTTAAAAATCTGGATACTTGGGCTTCCCCCTAAACCAATGAAGTCAGAATGTCTTGGGGGTGGGACTCAGGCATCATCGTTTTTTAAAGCTTCTGGGTAATTCCACTGGATGGCCCAGGTTGAGAACCAGGGGGTTAGGAGCACAGGCTCTGCACAGACTGCCTCGTCTGTGAAATGGGGCTGATTGGTAGGGTGGGGAGCAGTGCTGCTTGCCTCGTTAGTGCTGCGTGCGTGGCTGCCGTTATGAGGGCAGACTCTTGGTATTCATGGGGCTGACTCTGATTTGTCAAGCAGGGTCTGGAGCTCGATCTAATTAGGCAGTAATGGATGCCGCACATTCTAGGACGATTTCTGTCCCAGGTGGATCCGTGGCTCTGACAAGAAGAGCTGTGCATGTTGCTAGGAGGAGAGTGACGGAGAGGGAAGGGCTGAAGGTGCAGGGGTAGGTGGTCGCAGGACTGGCCGCCTTCCCCTCCCCCACAGTGTAGGGCTCACTTGGGGCAGGCGCGCTGGACCCTTTCGGAGCTGCGGTCTCCCATCTGTGAGATGGGACTCGCAGTCCCTCCTCACGGGGTTGCTGTGAGGCTTTGGAGGAGCTTATGGGCTACAAGGCGCTCTCTGGACCTGGGGGCCACCTCAAGGCTGAGATGGAGGGACGTGTCTGGATCCATGGGAGGAGGCAGGGCGTAGGTGATTTCCTACTGACCGGAATGCAAGTACCGCCATGGGCCAAGGTCCTTCGTAAAAAATGACAAGAAAGAGAGGAGAGTAGGTTTGAGACTGCCCTGTGATGACGTCACCCAGCGCCACTCGCATTCCACTTCGCTTCCCTAAGTGGAGAGGTCAGAGAGGGATTCTAGCCAGCTCGCTCGGGACCGCAAGGACGTACGCACGACCTGGGTTCAGCCAGCGCGGTGGCTCTGCTGTGCACGTCATCTGTCCCTGAGCTGGCAGAGACGCGCAGGAGCAGCTCCTCCCCGCGGTGAAGTGCAGTGTGATGGTGGTGCCAGTGCCACTGACCTGTGTGCTTGGCCGCCGTCACCTCGCGTCTTGACCTCTCTGGCTTGGCCGCGGTAGAATGCAGGCCACTTTCTCTGGATGACCCAGGCCCTGCCTTCCAGGAGGTCCCCACTCCAGTGACCAACCAGCCATCCAGCTGGCAGGAGGGACTGGCGCTATAGCCTCTGGTGCCCCTGGCAGGGCATCCTAGGGGGAGTCCAAAGGTTCAGACCACAGGGAAGCAGGAAGGGGGGCTGTTTTCTTCCCATTTCCTGAGACTGGTTCCTAACTGGGTTCTCCGGGAAGCTGGCTCAGGAGGCAGCAGGGGGCTGCCAGGCCCGGGGCTCGCAGGGCAATGGGATGGAGCTGTTTCGACGTTAGCTGAGGCACCAGTCAGTGTGCCCTGGGACCTCAAAGGAGGCAGCCACCTCCCATGGGGCCAGAGGCTGACTCTGGAGTGATCTCTGAATATTCCCTGCGGATCTAAGTCATGGGTTGGGGACGCAGGTGGCACTGGGAGGCCTGACTTCCTGCCCTGGCTTTGTCCTGTGCTTCCTGTGCACAAATCACTCCTTACACCCAGGTTGGCCTTGGATTTCCCCTCTGCAGGATGAGGGGCTGGCACCTGCTCCTGGGGAGTCACCTGTGTGTGAGTGCGTCCCCTTCACCTTTCTGGTCCCCCTGTCTCCGCCCCTCACCAGGACACACACCCCTGCCCACTTCCACCACCCCACGCCATCTTCGTCATTGCTCCTAGAACAGGCTGGGCCAGGCCAGCCTGGCTGGTCTTCCTGCCAGCAGTCTGGGAGTGGCTGGAACATGGTACTCCTCATCCCCAGCCCTGAGCTTAACACCCTCCTCGCTGTGCGGGGGAATCCGCTGTGTTCACTGAGACACAGCGTGGCGTAGCCGAGAGTGCAGTGATTCGGGCATCTCAGGCCTGCCTTCAAGGCCTGGCCTTGGCGCTAGCTGTCGGTGCATTGGGCAGGTGGAGCAGTTTTCTTGTCTGCAGAATGGGAACAACACTCACACCTCAAAGCCTGGGTGTGAGAATTGACTGAGACCCAGCAGGTCGAGTCGTGGTGCAGGGCGGGCTGGAGGATTTCCCGGGCTTCTGTGCCAGGCCCCCACCATGCTAAGAGCGTCACACAGACCTCGCGGAGGAGCTGCGTCACCTCACCCAGAGAAGAGCAGAAAGAGTGGACAGGGAGAGGGCGCGGCTGGGCTGGGCTGACCCAGGCCACCCCCAAGAGAAGCCGGCCTGATGGCCGGCAGGCCCGGGGCCCTGCACGTCCTGCCTGGCTCACGCTCGGGCTCGGGGAAGCCCCCAAAGTCACACCCAGCAGACGCGGCCTGGCAGCCCTGCCTCTCAGCAGTAGGGCCCATTAGAACTGAACTCTTCTTCGGGGGGCATTTTATTTGCACACTCCAGTAGAGTGGACACCAAAGGGGTTTTCTAATGCTTCATGGGCTGCTAATTTCCTCCGTGACCTCTTTTGTTGGGACCTGACCCCAGCCAGAGGCTCTGCGCCATGAAAGCCAGCGCCTGACACAGACCCGGGCGCGGGGTGACAATGAGGCCTCTATCGGCTTTAATCAGGCTCCGGTTGTGTCTTAAGAACTGGGGGAATTTGTGTGGCGCTCAGAAGCCCTGGGTGGCACAATACAGGAGCCCCCCGAATCCCTCATGGAGGCCAAGGGGGCTGCAGGCAGCGGCTAGAGGATTCGTCAGGCCAGAGGGGTGGGTCGGGCGGGGGCTCTTGGTCCCGAGCGCCGCTTTAGAAGGCCGGCTGCCCTGAATGCCTGCCTGCTCGGCCGGCCCATGGGTATCACGGGCCTCTGGGTATTTAGGGAGGAGGTGGCCTCCCGCTCGGCCCGCCAGCCTATTCATCGCCAGCCTAATTAGGTTTTGTCTGTGCTCTCCCCTCCCCTCCCCTGCAGACTGCGATTCCTACTGCAAGGCCTCCAAAGGGAAGCTGAAGATTAACATGAAAAAGTACTGCAAGAAGGACTACGGTGAGTGAGGGGGCGGGTGTCACGTGACCAGCCAGGAGCTGGGGTTGGGGTGCAGGTGGCCCTGGGTGGGTGCTGGTCGTGGAGTCCCTGTGACTGGACAGGACCCGAGCTGGACGGATCCCACTCCCAGGAGTGTGTCATCTCTTACACCGTGGCCCTCGGAGGCAAGGGCCGTGAGGGGCCACAGGGCACGAGCACTGGGTTCTCCCCCTCGCCCCACCGGCAGGCATCCAGGCCAGTGGGGCTGGCCTGGGGCTGGGATTCCCAGGGTGGCCTCTGGCCTTCGCTCTGCCCCGGGGACTGTGTGGCCGCAGACCAGTCACTTGACCTCTCTGGTCTTCAGTGCCCTCAGGCATACTGTGGGCACTCAACCTGAGCAACCGCTGTTGTTCAAAGTGAGGTCCTCCAGGCATCAGGAAAGGGGGTGGGAGCTCGTGCTATGTTTAAAGTGCGGATTCCTGAAGCTGCCTTCTTCTGAGGGTCGACTCCACGAGGCTGAGGTGGGTCGGGGAATCTGCATTTTGAACGGCTCCCTGGTAATTCTGATGCACCTGAAGTTTGCACACAGCTGAAGGGGGATCTTTGAGGGCCTTTTTCAGCTGGAAGCTGTGGGGCTGACAGCCCTGGGGGCCACCAGCAGAGATTCCCTGTCACCTGAGCCCTCAGGCTTCCTTCACTGGGAAGGGGGTGTCCCGTCCCCCCACTCTCACTACGCACTGGGGACAGCGGGCCCCTGCACCCCTTCTCTGCGGGCTCTCCTTTCCCGCCTTCTGTGAGCACTTCCTGAGAGTCTGCTCGAGCCAGCCCCGCCCCGTGGGAGGTGAGGAGCCAGCCTCGTGGTTTCTAGTCCCTGAGAGTGTCCGCGCTGGCCAGATACCACGTGACACAGGGTCAAGGTCTGACTGCGGTCACGGTGGGTGGGAGGCAGTCGGGGAGCCTGCAGGAAGAGGGGAGCCCTTAGCAGCCCACGGGCAGGTGTGTGTGGAGAGTGGAGGGGGTGCTTCACAGCAGGAGAAGCGAAGAGAAGTTCCGAGAAGATGGTCAGATGTCCACTGGCAGAGCAGGGAAGGGCCCTGTGCGGAAACCAGGGCGTCCGTGTGGGTGGCCGAGGTCTCCGTCACCCGGCCAGGCAGTAGCCGCAGCCTGAACCCAGGCCTGGCTCTCTCCACCGTGGGCCCCCCCCCGACATGCTCGGCCTGGCTGATTCGGGCTGGGCCTCCTTTCCCGGCCCCCGACAGTCCTCTCTGCCCGCCTCCCCACTCCAGCTGGATGTGGCCTGATCTCGCCTGTCCACTCTCCAACTGGCCCCCGCAGGTGAGTTCCCTGCCCGAGGCCTCAGTGGCCCTGCAGACCCCAGCCCCACCCTGGCCCTATCCGGCAAAGCCGAGTGGCCTCTTTGCTGCCCAGTGTTCCCAGTCTGCCCTGAGGATGCTCCTCCCTTGGGACCTGGGCGAGTCCAGCTGCCTGTCCGAGGCTCCGTTTCCTGGTCCGTAATGCGGAGGTGACGCACCTACTGTGCATGTGCGGGAAGCACCAGCTCAAGGCCAGGTGCCTGTTAGGCTCCCAGTAAAGCAGGACCTCGGCTCATCCACGGGGAGCCTGGTGGGAGGGGAGGAGGGAAGAAACGCACCTGGGAGAGGTGGGGTGAGAGGGAAGGCCCCCTGGTGAGGAGGCCTCATTGTCCATCCGGAACCCATGCTCCATCCTCCTGCCCAGAGAGGGCAGGCAGCTGGCCTTGGAAGCCAGGCCCTGTGGGGATCCTAACTGGCCGGCTGTTTGGACCACACTTAAGGATTTTTCCTTTAATAAAGACAATAGTCAGGACCTTTCAGCATCATAAAATGAATGATGAGGCCCAAATGATGGGGCACACACATACGCACCCACACCCCACGCTGAGGCGCCCTCCCCGAGCCGGCCGCACTGCCCGCAGGCCACCTGGCCTCCCACAGGACGAAGCTGGAGCCACTGGCAGGTTTTGCGGGTCAGTTCAGAAGTGGCCAGGCTGTGGATATCTCCACTCTAGTCCACTCTGGGGCCCACAGGAAATTCCTAAAAGCCGCTTCAAAGTGCTTGCCTCCTAGGGCAGTGCAGAAACTTCCAGCTCCGCTGGGAAGACAAACTTGGGGTGGTTTAAAGATAAAGGATGCACTGTCTCCGAGCCAGAGCGACAGCCACGAGGAGAGGCCCCAGGTTGTTTTGGACGAAGCTTGTGTGGCCCCGAGCTCCAGGGCCTCGTCCTCCCGGCCTCGGCCGTCTGTGTCTGCCCTCGGCCGTCTGTGTCTGCCGGGGACTGCGAGGTGGCAGTCCTGTGGGAAGAGGACCCAAGCCCGAAGGTTCTGCCGCACTCCCAGGCTTGGGGCCTGGGGGGCGGAGCACAGGCGTCCGTGCAGGCCCAGAGAGCCCGGGGTCGCTGAGGTGCCGCTCCCCCTGCCCAGAGCAGGGGGCAGGGAGAAGGAATAAGTGGGCCCGCTTAGGGAGGAGTGATTTGATGACGGGCCTGAAGCATCCCTTCAGTGGGCGCTGTGGAGAGGGCCTGGAGAAGGGAAGAGCCAGCAGTCTTGCTGTGAGATGTTGACCGCAGCCTGTGGAGAAGTTGGACTTTTATTTAAAAGTTCCAAAACGGTTCCTGTTTTCCACCTGATTCTGTTGACTCAGTCCTGTTTTGTTCTCTTCTGACCGCTTTTCCTCCGTTGGATTCTGCCTCCCCCACTGATCTTCCAGGGCGCACTCTGGCCCCCTTGGAGCTCTCCTGGCACCTCACCCACCAGCAGGCAGGTCCCCTCTCTGCTGAAGGGGCCTGATACCCTCTTTTTATAGACCCAGAGGGGCCCCCTGGACCCTCCCGGAGCCTCACCCCTGCTGTGGGCGGCTCTGGGCAACAGGGGCCTTCTCTCCTGGGGGTGCGGAGGGGTGGGGCCCAGACTCTGGCTTCCATTTGCCCTTTGCCCTCTGACCTGGCCCTTACTTTCCCCCACACCCGACTCCTTCGTGGGTTATCAGAGTGAAGCGGGTGTCAAAGGCGGCAGGCTTCAGTTCCCTCGTGTCACGGGTGGGGACCCTGGCCCAGTTGGCTGAGGTGGCCTGCCCAGTGGAGGTCCCACCTCCCGCTCCTTCCACAGTGGCCTTCCCTGGGCTCCCCCGACACACACATCACATTTAGCCCCAAGGCCAAGAGAAGTGAGAGACAGTCGGCGTGCCCACCTTCCCAGACTTCATCGCGGCCATCCCCGCTCCTGCCCCCACATGCGTTGCCCAGGCGCACTGCCCAGGTGCTCACGTTTCTGCCACAGAGCAAGACTTGAGGAGCAGCAGATGCAGGAGAGAAGTGGGGTGCCCCCTCAGGGAGCCAACGAGGTGTGAAGCTGCTGTGCCATCAGCTTTAATGTCCTCCTAACCGTGCCCCCCGCCTGTTGCACTGAGGCTGGGACTGGCACTGCCCCTCCCATTCCCCCAAAGACCTTGGGGGGTGGTTCTGGTCCCCAGGACTGTCCCTGATACTCTTGGGGTCACCCAAAAGTTGGAGAGCATCGCCACCCTAGCTCGGTGTCTAGGCCTGTGTGTTTAGGCAGGAGGCAGGACAAAGAGGTGCCAGGAAGGGGACTTCAGGGGCTTCTGGAGAGAGCTCACAGAGCCCAGTGGGTGGGCGGGCAGGGCCCCGGGGAGGCTTGTTAAGGAAGGAGTGAGTGACGCCCACAGGGCTGGGGCAGGGGCCCTCGTGACGCTGACGCCCATGGGTGCAGCAGCTGCCGGCCCGGCTCTGAGGCCAGGGGCCAGGTCTCGGGTCGGGCTCTGTGGGACCTTGTGGAGGATCTTCCCTGCGTCCTGTTGGGACCCTGGACCCCTGGATGAAGTGTGAGTAGGGGTGTCCCTCCCACACCCGGGGCAGACCTGGGCCAGCCCAGGAGAAGGATGAGTAGGAAGAGGACGAGGAGGGGAGGAGGCGAGGCTGGCCAGAGCAGGCGGGCCGGGGAGGGAGGCTCAGAGGGGCTGCATAATCCCTGCTCTCTGACTGACACCCCGGCAGGGAGCCAATTAGGAAACAGATTTCCTTCACTTAGAGCCGGGGCACTTGGATGTTCCAGAAGCTGCTAATTAGAACCTCAGGTTTGCTGCCCCTGCTGGGTGAAGAGCAGGCCCCAGACCCCCTTCCTCCTCTGAGGCCAGCTCACAGGAGTCTTGATGTGCTGTGGGAGAGCACGGATTTGGGGCTCCACCGACCCGGGCAGTGGTGTAGACCGGAGGCTGGGGGAGGCGGGGGCGATGAGAAACGCCCTGGGGTGAGCCTGCCCTGTGTTCTCTCAGGCATGTTCCCAGTGAGTGGGCCCAGCCTGGGTGGGGTGGGGTGGGCACCAAGCAAGCAGGAAGGAATTGGGGTGGGGGAAGGCCTCAGGGTCAAGAGACCCCATGACAGGGAAGGGTGGCCGTTCCATTCCCATCTGTAGGGAAGGGGGCACTGGCCCCAGAGTCTGGAGACAGGTTCCTAATTTGCTGTGACTTTGCACAGGGAGCCTCACCAGCCTGGGCCTCAGTGTCCTCATCTGTCAAATGGAGGTGTGATCAAGGGGACGTGCCATCCTTCTAGATAAGACAGATCGTGGCCCCACCAGGCCAGGCGCCATCTCCAAGGGCAGGGGTCCATGGTGATGCTGTCTTTGCCATCCCCCCCTCTCCTGGGGCCACCTCAGTCCTCTGTTGCCCTCTAGGGGCCTCCAGCTCACCTTGCAAATGCTTGAAAAAGCGCCAGCAAGAAGGCCAAGTGTGGAGCAGTTGTTCACAGATGACGGGTTTTATTATTTTCAAGTGTATTCGCAGTTCCTGCCAACTTCTCAGGAAACCTAGCCTTGGAGGGGCCCTTCCTTTGTGAGAATGCTCCGAGTGTGACAGTGTGTGTGCATGTGTGTGCGAGCGTGTGCCTGTGCACCACAAAGTCTGCACCCCATCGGGCTGCTCCGATGCAGGCAGAGCACATCCTTGCTCTGTGGCACATTTATGGGAAG